ATCTGAACTTAAAAGACTGCATGCTGACTCTCTGCCCCCCAAAACACGGTCTCTTCCCCCACATACACACAACACACTCCCTGTCACACTCCACCCCCACCCCCCCATTTGAAAAGCACGTTCCAGTCACTTGCACACTGGGATAGCTACCACAATGCACTGCTCTTTGTGGTGTTGCAAGAGCTGCTAATGTGGCCATGCCAGTGCGCTTGCAGCTGACAGTGTAAACACACAGCAGCATTTCCCCTGCTCTAGTCTCCGAAGGCTGGTTTTACTGCCAGCGCGCTACATCTGCAAGGGTAGCCAAGCCCTATGTTGCTCAGAAGTTGGGAAAAGTTCACAACTCTGAGCGTAGTAGCTATTCCAACCTGACCTCTAGTGTAAATGTGGCTAGGTTGACAGAAGAATGCTTCCCTTGACCCAGCTACCAGGGCTGGGAGGTGGCTTACCTACAGTGATAGAAAAATCCCATCTGTCACTGCTGGAAGCCTCTATAGTGCTACAGCACTTTAGTTGTGCTGCTGTAATACCTGTAGGGTAGACAAGCCCATATTCTGAAGTAGTGTCAACACAAGAAGCTATTCTGGAAGCTATTGTGCCCTAAATTCACACTTTACCTTACTCTGAAGTAACTTGCAAGTGTAGACAAGCTCTTGGATGAATAATAGGAACAGCCTAAGTTATAGTGGGGCAAAACTATAACTTTTTTATAGAAGCAGGGAGATAAACCCTTGACCTTCAGGGCACCATCCACTAATGCAGGGGATCTCAAACTTCATTGCAGTGCGACCCCCTTCTGACAACAAAAATTACTACATGACCCCAAGATGGGGGGCTGAAGCCCGAGCCCACTGCCCTGGGTGAAGGGGCCAAAGCCTGAGCCCCACCGCCCCGGGGAGGGGAAGTAAAGCCTGAGGGCTTCAGCTGCAGGCAGGGGACCTGTAACCTGAGCCCCGCTGCCCAGGGCCGAAGCCCTCAGGCTTGAGCTTTCGGCTTCAGCCCCGGGTCCCAGCAAGTCTAAGCCAGCTCTGGTGACCCCATTAAAACAGGGTGATATTTATCTTCATCTGTAATTTCAAGATTCTTGTATGGTATTTTTTCTTCTCACAAAGAGCAAATAACTGGTATGTGTCTTCGTCATTTTCCTGATTTATTGTACTTGCTCAGGATCTGCTCAAAATGCAGCCATGCCTAGGACAAAATCTTAGCATATATTCTGCATCTGCCAGACAAATGTGTTGTCTGGCAGAGTGATTAATCCTGTATTCCACTGAAAGTGCAGGGGGGGATTTAAGGATACATAATGAAATTTCAGGAGTTGAAATTTAGAGCTTGTCTACATTATGGGGGATCCAGTGGCATAGCTACAGCTATGTCGGCATAATTCTGTGGTGTCGTCACATTCTACAGTGATGGAAGGGTTTTTTTTTTTTTTCCCCAGAGTGGTAGCCATGTTAGTCTGTATCAGCAAAAAGAACGAGGCGTACTTGTGGCACCTTAGAGACTAATAAATTTATTTGAGCATAAGCTTTTGTGGGCTAAAACCCACTTCATCGGATGCATGCAGTGGAAACTATAGTAGGAAGATATATATACACAGAGAACATGAAAAAATGGGTGTTGCCATACCAGCTGTATACCATCCTACTGTATTTTCCACTTCATGCATCTGACAAAGTGGGTTTTAGCCCATGAACGCTTATGCTCAAATAAATTTGTTAGTCTCTGAGGTGCCACAAGTACTCCTCGTTCTTTTTGGGGTTTTTTTGTTGCTATTGGAAAACCACCTCCTTGAGTGACAGTAGGTAGGTTGATGGAAGCATTTTTCTGTCAACCTAGCTGTGTCCTATTCCGAGGGTTAGGTTGGCAAAGCTATGGTAGTTGGATTTGGCTTTTTTACATCTCTGAGTGCCATAGCTCTGGCGACCTATATTTTAAGAGTAGACCAGGCATTAGGCAGGGCAGTAAACTTAACACTGCTAAACTTGGACTTGTCAGTGCACTAGAGGTCAGGATTTTGAGCTTCTGTCCCAATTCCAGGATAGTGTTGTAAACTTCTAAGAGTGCATTTGATTTATGTAATTATAAATTTTGAATATCTTAAAGCAAGCGTAAAAATTCTTATAAGCTAAAGGCTAGCATTTCTTCAACTCTTTTTTTTTTAATAGGGATTTCTGCACCAGTCGTTTACTTTGTGGATTATGTCTCCAACTGTATATATCTTGAAGATATCGTAGAATCAACTACAGTTCGGGATTATATAACTTCTGTACAGCAAAGTGGAAAGGATACCAGCAACCTCTTTCTCTTAGCAGAAAAGATAGGTGAGGTTTTGGCACGAATGCATGATGAGGATCTTATCCATGGAGATCTTACAACTTCCAACATGCTTTTGCGACCACCAGTAGAAGAGCTGGACCTGGTGCTGATAGATTTTGGACTGAGTTTTATTTCTGGTCTTCCTGAGGATAAAGGAGTTGATTTGTATGTTTTGGAGAAAGCTTTTCTGAGTACTCATCCAAACACAGACACACTGTTTGAAGCCCTGCTGAAGAAGTACTCTGCTACATCTAAAAAATCAAGTCTAGTGATCAAAAAGCTGGATGAAGTACGACTAAGGGGAAGAAAGAGATCCATGGTTGGATAGAAGAAAGCAGAATTTGTGGGAGGGTAGGGGAAATGTAACTTCCTATGATGTGCAAATGTGCTTGTTTATTAATTGTTTGGTCTTATTTCATAATTCACCATTTTGGTAGCTTTCATTGTCTTACAAATGTACAATAAACCAGTTTAATCCAACATGGTGGTGATCCTTGTACAGCAATCTGACAAGTGGCTCAGAGTAACCAAGTTAATGATAGGTGATGGGAGTGCAAGTGGGAAAGTAACAGCTGAGGTGGGAACAGTTGCTTTTCTTGTCTCCTAACGATCAGATATCCCTTTTTTAAAAGAAAAATCCAATATTTGTAGTGTGCTTTGCTATGCAAACATAGAGCTTGTATTGTTAGAGCATTAAAAATGTTATGTTTATTGCAGTAAATTTGGGAAAGTGTAAATTTTGGCTCTGTTTTCAAATCAACTTTGTTTTCTTAAGCCAATAGTCAGTTACATCCGTAATAGAAATGACCAAGTCCTCTGCTCAGGATCTTTCAGTTAAACAAAAGTGTTGCAACTTTCCATGCAGAGTTTCTGTAAGAAGGAGTGCTTCCACTCTGACTGTTTAGGCCCTCTAAAATAAATCAATTTTTTTTTTTATTCAGAGTATAGCAACAGCGGAATGCCATAGTGGATCAGAGATGAGGTCCATCTACTCTGGTATCCTGCTTCCTACACTGGTCAATATCAGATACTTCTGAGGAAAATGTATTCTTGGGGGAATTCTGCACCAAAAAAATTAAAATTCTGCATATTTTATTTGTCAAAACAGAATATAATCATGCCATTTTCAATTCTTTGGTAATTTATTTCAAAATACCTGTCATCAAGTATTTCTGTAATGATACAGATGACAAAAAGGATTCCCCCCAGAAGTAGGGAGTTAAAGAAACCCCTAGGACAATCCAGTTCCTGTTTCTCTGTTATGCTTTCGTTTGGTGTGTCACATACGCCCACATCCTCAGAGTCCAGCCGCAGATTCTACTCCGAAGTTTCATTACTGCCTGCCAGGCAGAGACAACTCGTACCTGCTGATAGTGTGTGTGTGTGTGGGGGGGGGGGGGGGGGGGGGGGGGACAATTTAAAGGTTCGGCCGCCAGCTCCATTCCTGCCCCCCCCCCCCCCCCCCGGCAGACTTCACCCCCTCCTTACTTAAGTCTCCCCTCCCGGAAAGCAGCAGCCCCTCCCTGCAGCTCCCAGCTATTGCTTCTGCCTCTTCTGGCAGCTGCTGGGCAGGGAGGGGGTCTGGGGGCACTATGTGACTGAGTAGGGCTAGCAAACGTGGGAACTGCAGCCTGCCCATGCCTCCTGGGGAGCTGGGCTCTGCTGGACCTTAGCAGTGGGCAGCAACTCTGCAGTGCCAATTCTGCAGGGGACGGGAGGGAATTAAATTCTGTGCAGAACATTAATTCTGAGCAAACTCTGTGTTGTGCAATGGTGCAGAATTCCCCCAGGAGCCAAAATGTAAGAATTCTGCAGTTGGCAGATGTGGGCTAATCAGCCCCCCACATCGTGATCACTCATACATCTAAGCCCTGAACCACACGTTTAAACATTAATTGGAAATATGTTCTTAGCATTAGCTACTCTAACTCTGGATATTCTTGTCATCTGTATAAATGTCCAATTCCTTCTTGAATGTTGTTAAGTTCTTAGCCTCTGACTTTTGGTGGCAATCAGTTCTACACTCTAATTATGTATTTATTTCTTTTCATCAGTTTAGAACTTGTCACCTTTGTTCCCCTGTTCCTGTGGTATGAAATGGGGAGAGCAGAAACTCCTGATCTACCATCTCTATACCATACCTTATTTTATACTTTTATTCCCTGTTGTTTATGTCCTTTCCAAAATACAGAATCTGCATCTTTTCAATCTCTCTTCCTATGAGCTTTTTCCATGGACAAGTAGTGTAGACAAGCCCTAATCATTCTTGTCACCCTTCTCTGAACCTCTTCTTATTTTGTAATAACCACTGCTGTAAACCAATAACTACTGTAGTTTTATTTTTCCTGTGACATTTTTGTAACAATGGCTCATCTGCACCCTTTGGGGAAGATGGGTGGTTATATTTTTTAATATCTTAGGGAGCCCTGAGATTGGGGGCAGGCTCCTGGGTCTCAGGCAGCCCCCAGGGCTCGTGGGAGGGAGCATGGTGAGTTTCTTTGTCCTGGGGGAAGAGAACGGGCGCACAAGGGGTCCGCCCCTTGCTCGGTGGGGAAAGCGGCGGAGCCCCAGTCTGGCTCCCTAGAAGCCGCTGCCATGCCGGCAATCGGCGTGAGACGCCTACCGAGCAGCTCCGTGGCTCAGCTTTAGCGCCGCAGCCTGAGAGCGGGGAGGAGCCGAGTTCGGGGCCGCTATTCTCCTCCTCGTGCAAGCGTCCTAGCGCTTCGGGCTGCCCGTGCCCGGCGCGTATTCACTTCCTTGCCAGAGAAGTTTGCCCAGGTCAAGTGCCCGGTTCCGCCGCCGTGGGAGCCGGGTTCCACCGGCCCGGGGACAATTTTACCAGGCGGCCGAGGAGAGCGACTCCCTGCTCTGGCCCCCCACTTGCCCTGCAGCGCCAGGCGCCCGTTGCCCGAGGTGCAGGAGCCTGAGCCAAGCCCCTGGCTGCACCCGCTGTGGGGGGGCATCAGTCTTAGCTTTCCCGGCACGTCTGGGGGCGGGGCCCTTCTCGGGGCGAGGCTACTCCTGGCTGCGCTAACTTCTCCCGCAGTTCAAAGTGCACCTGCTGCGGCGGCTCCTTCCCGGCTCCCCGCCCTGCCCACACCGGACTATGGAAGCGCTGCTCATGCTGGTGCACCTCGTGGCTGCAGGTATGGACGCTCCCCTCTCCCTCTGCCCTGCGGCTTGGGCTGTGCCTGGTGGAGGCGGCGAGTGACACGGGAGGCTCCCTGTGCTGCCCCTCCCGCCGCCTTCCCCTCCTTTGCCGCTGCTGTATTTCCAATCAATGACCCGTCGCTGCCAGCCAGACTCCGCCGCCTCTATTCGCCTTTGTGCGGGACCTTGCTCCTTGAGTGGGTCTGTTCAGCTGGGGCTATTCCCGAAGGAAGATACTGTTCAACAGCAGCAAAGGCGGCAGTGTTGGGCCTTTGGGGATTTTTTAAAATCAGTTGGAGTTGAGGTTGAACACAAACCCAAAGTGTCACCGCAATGAGAGGGAGGAAAGTCCCGAAGTTGGTGGTGGTCTTGTGGTTTATTTAAGTAGCAGGCTAAGTAGGCTGGGAAGGGTTAGATTTTTATCAGTAAATGTCAGTTTCACGGTACACACAGGAACTGGCAAAACATTTCTATCAGTAATCATCGAAAGTTACAGCTGGGCAAAGTAAGAAAAATGCTGCCTGATAACTTCTTAAGAGTCTAAATCCAGTGATTTAGACTTTGAATTCGGCTTGTTACAAATGGGCTAGTGAACAGGTCGGATTGCTTGATTTGAGGGTATTTACTTTGGACATTTTGACATGTGATATTGACAGTTTGTGTTTGGTTATAAAGCTTTAACTGATTGAATTTCAATGTCTATTGTCATTAAATAATTGTCTGACCCCCATCATTTCCCACAACTGTAAAAAATTTAAATAGATAAAAATAGAAAAAAGCTTTAAAACCCATTATCTTGTGCAGCTGTGCAAATTTAAATTGATAAAAATCTTTAAAATTCTTAAAAATAAAATCTATATATATGTATATGTGTGTGTGTGTAAACCAATTTTTGTCAAGCCTAACTCATAGTTTCTGGTAACTGCACCTGTATTCCCCCTCCATGGTTCCTCTAGGACATTCACTTAAAGGTTTCTGGTTCCCAGCCATCACCTCTCTTGAGCAGAGACCTGCATCTCTCTCTCCCTCCTCACAGGGGATTTTAAGGCAGCACAGCTCCTTGGATTACACTGTGATATCCTCAGCAAGCCAGACTGCCTAAACAGGCGAGCATCTGCATGTTGCTTTCTCCCTGAAGGCTATAGCCCATGTATTGCCCACAGTTACAGGTTACCACATAGCTCCTTTTAAGCAAGTACATTTATTCTTAAGGTAAAAACAGGACAGAGAAAACAATAAAAGAATCTACACACATGCTAGAACGGTTACCACTGGTCACCCCCAACACCAACCTAGCACACTGGTAGCTTTCAGTCTTTCAAAACCCACCACTGGATTTTTCCCCTGGTTGAAAGTTCATATCCATCTTAGCTCCAGAACCAGAACAAGGGCTGGGCAGAGCATTAGTTTCTTTATACAGCGTAGGCCTTTGATCTTCTACAATGGGTAATCAACAAAGACCCTCTCCTCTGGACATAGCTTGAAAAGGCTGGGTTTTTGCATAACCAGAGTTGGATAACGTGCGTTAACTGCACCCTAGGTATCCCCAGGAACTGCAGTTAATGCTTATTGTCCCAAAAGTCCATACTTGTCTGGCATTTTCAATAGAGTCTTTTGAACTCCCCATTCCTACATTGGTCATATCTTGCCCCTAGAGAGATTACATGAACTTAATACAATAAGATCTTTCAGGGATATTGCGACATTGCCATATCTGTCACACATGGTGCTATATGCTAGATAAACTTATGCCAGACAAATAATAGGTCCCTCCTCAAAAGAGTTTACATTCCAGAGATATGAGTGACTATGTTGCAACACAATACAGAGCAAACAGAGAATATCAGGGTAACTAATATTTGGAATGCTTCACAGAACAGGGCTAGAAAAGTAATAGTATTTTACACTAATTGTTTGGAATGTGTAACAACTTGCATCTAAAATGAAGGCAAATTTGGCCCAAAGTGTCTTCATCTTCCAAGTTTGAGGGTTTCAGTTTTAAGGGCCAAATTCTGCTCTTGGATGCACCTACAGGGCTCCTGTTAATTTCACTGGAGATTCCCGTTTTCAAGTGCATCAAGAGCAGAATGTGGCCCGAAGAGCTGTGTTGTAACAAAAAATAAAATAAATAAGAATTCAAAGGAGATAACATGAAAACTATTCTGAACATTTGCCATTTGGGGGAGTTGAAGTGGGGGAGGGGGGAAGGAGAAAAGGAAACGTTATGTCCATTAAGAACTGTCCAAATTCCACAACTGCAGTCCAAGTGGAAAATATCATCTCCTGACTTGTTCAGTAATAAATAAGGTTAGTTTTATTAAAGGTATGTTTGACTACAGTGGCGTAGTTACAAAAAAAGAAGTCTGATTGATTTCTGAAATCTCTGATACCAAAGAGTGCAGTTGGCTCCCTAACATGGCTAGGTTTATTTCAGACAGGAATCTGGAACAAACATGTGGAACAATTTCTATAGCAGACCTTTTACAAATTGGGAAGAGATGTTCCACAGACAGAAATGTATGACAATGACTTAGAAAAGCAAACGGTACCATCAGCTTGAAATCTAGTCAATTAAAAAAAATGAATGAAAAGTTGTTTCAGGTCTTATCTTGATCTCTTGAGTCTTAATTGTGTTTTTTACGATTACATTTTCTGAACTCACACAATTAAAAGAGGAAACTGACTAAGATCACGATCCACCATTTGTTTCAGTTGGTGTGAATCCTACACCTATGTAATACCCCATTGACTTCAATGGGACTGCACATGGGTGCAGACATCCTTGCTAGCAGATCTGAGACCTGTGCTTGGCATAGTGTGCAGTCAAAGACATGGAATAAACAAACAAAAAATGAATCCAACTCCCCTCTCTAATCCTTTTCACGTGTTACTTGTAACAAGGGTAAGGAAATACATTTGAGACAGATGTGTAATTTTTATGTTGACAGTGTCCCATTGAGTAAACAATGATATGTCTGGTGCTCCAAAGCATCAATATATTGGTCACCCCATCTCAAAAAAAGATATCTTAGAATTGGAAAAGGTACAGAGAAGGGCAACAAGAATGAATAGGGGTATGGAACAGCTTCCATACTGGGAGAGATTAAAAAGACTGGGACAGTTCAGCTGGGGAGGGAGGGGGGGGGGAAGATATAATAGCAGTCTGTAAAATCATGAATGGTGTGGAAAAAGTGAACAGGGAAGTGTTATTTACCCCTTCACATAACACAGGAACTAGGGGTCACCCAATGAAATTAATAGGCAGCAGGTTTAAAACAAAAAAAGGAAGTATTTCTTCACACAATGCAGAGAAAACTTATGGAACTCGTTGCAGGGGATGTTGTGAAGGCCAAAATAATAACTGGGTTGAAAAAAGAATTAGATAAATTCATGTTTATGAACTATGGCGATTAGCCAAGACGGCTATTAGCCAAGATGCTCAGGGATGCAACCCCATGCTCTGGGTGTACCTAAACCTCCAACTGCCAGAAGCTGGAACTGGATGACAAGGGATGGATCACTTGAAATTGCCCTGTTCTGGTCATTCCCTCTGAAGCATCTGGCTCTGGCCTCTGTCAAAAGAGAGGCTACTGGGCTAGATGAACCTTTGGTCTGACTCAGTCTGGCTGATCTTATGTTCTATGTTCTTATAGGGCTCAGTTCCTAAAAATATCAATCCCCTCGGATATGCGTCTGATGGCTTTGATTTATCCACAGGACGGTACAACCATAGAAGCACGAATGTCCCCACCCCAGCACAGTGATGTGACTCCATCCTAATCCTAGGCAGGCCCCTAATTAGGGCTGAGAGGGAGAATTCAGTCTCTATAGCCCTTTCGCTCCTTTTCCTGTTGCTGAGACTGATAGTGAGTGCCAATTGCATGTTCGTTTGTTTTATTTTTAGCTACATTGGAAATCAAGACCAGCCCTTCCCCAGTATTCTGTTTGGTGGACAAACATATTGAGTTGCATTGTAATTTTACAATCTGGAAGAGTGTTAAATTGGAGGATGTGGCAGTGAAATGGACCATAAACAATGAATTTGGAGAGAAGACTGTATACCAGTTTGATGGAAAGCATACGTTATATCACCGGAATGGGGCCTTGGTGAATCCTCAATTACTAACCCAGGGCAGCGCATCACTGAACCTGCATAATGTGACATTAGATGACGAAGGGATCTACACATGCACTGTTTTAATAACCCCGCAATACGGAAGTGGGACAATCCAGCTCCAAGTAAGAGGTACTCAGTACTATTATCTATAAAACAGAAACAACCAACCAATGTGTAACTTTGAGGCCAGTCAAAGGGTTGAGTTAAGACATGATGCTGTGATGTAATGAAACAGTAGCCTTATTTTAGCCTTGGAGATTTTCATCTTCAGGAATTCCTAATTGCTTCATAAACTACCGAATTGGGACAATAGGGTGTCAGATAAATGGGAGTATCCTGTATTAATAAACTCATTTTACAGATGGGGGAAATTGAGATATAGAGAATAACTGACCTGCCCAGAGTCACACAGTGATGATAGAACTGGGTCTAGAACCAAGAGGCCTGATTCCCTATCCCCGGCCTGCAGTAAACACTAAACCGCATATGGATAGGAAGTGACTTTTTTGGAATAGGAGCACTGAATATTAAGCAAACCCCTATAATTTCTCTTGCCACTGCCTACAGCCAGCAGTTCATTCTCCAGTGACTGTTTTGAATTATTTTTAGGCACTTGTTTGAGGGTAACTGCAGCAAATGTTTCTTAGGGGATCATCAAGTGCTTTCCAGGTCCTTGTGGTCAGTTTAAAGTTAGCTCCTTTACTGTCTCTTTGGTGCAATGATTTAGTCACGGTCTGGCTTGTTTACATGTTAACGTTATAAGAGTAAAACTTTTGTAGAAAAGAAACTCTTCAGAGGAATTCTTACTGTGCTTCACTGGTGTGTATCTATCACTCATTTGTGCATTTACATTCTCCTTTTTATTTTGAACTAAATTTTTACTAGTGTCCATTAGCACTCAGCCAGTATTTTGAATCTAGTCTTATTCACTTAATGCCATGTAACTCTGTATTCCCAATTTTAACTATCTACTCAGAAGCGAAATTAGTGTCTAGTGCTAATTAGGAATCTTTTATGGGGACTCATGAGCAACAGGATCTTGTTTGTGCATGACTGTGATCTGTCTTCCCAGCTCAGCCTACAGTGTTGCTGTCACCCCAAAACCCCGAAATTACAGCAGGGGGAGAGAAAACCTTTTCCTGTGATGTTCATCAATTTTACCCTCAAGAAATTGACATCTCCTGGCTGGTTAGGAAGTATGGCAGTAAACACGAGAGGCCTTTGATGCAGGATATCTGCACGGGAGTCCCACTGGCTCATGATAAAAAGGGCATGTTCACCGTGCTGAGTCGGGTGACGCGAGAGGTGTCTGAAGAGGATGATGGATCCCTGTACATCTGTGAAGTCCGACATGAATCCCTGGAAAAGCCGCTGAGAGGAAATACAACCATATTTGTCACGAGTAAGTGGCCCAAGAACAGACTCTGAATAGATCTGGTTGAAAATTTTTTAATGGCACAATTTTCTGTCAGAAAATGTAATTTTGCTGAAATCAAACTGTTTCATGGAAACGTGTTGGTTTGATGACATTTTTCAACAGGAAAAAGTTTAAATGAATCATTTTTTACTTTCTTTTTAATTTTGATAAGGTAAAAATGATTAATTTTGACTAACATTTTGATTAATTTTTGTTTAAACTTTTATATTATACTAAAATATTAGTTTTAATATCTTGTATGTAGAGATTTAACATGATTAACTATGGCATATATTCTATATTTTATATAACAATGTTTTGACATTACTGAAATTAAATGTTTCAATTGTTCCACATCAAACTTTTTCTGAATTTTCATTTTGTAGAAAATTTCAAACTTTCAGCTTTTCAGTTTGATTTGGAACAAAAACAAATTAAAAAATGTTGGGATTTCCCAGCAAATGGAAATTCTACTCTCTACGCATTGGGGAAATCCTAAGAAATGATTGATGGGAGAAATAATTTTCATAGGGGCAAAATCCTGCCTTAACTCCAGAAAGTCCTGAGTGCAGTAAAACCAGTGCCCAGGGGCTCAGGACTCCAGGGGCCTGCACAGGGATTCTGCACAGGCTGTGCTCTGTGTTGGCTCAGTGCAACGGCATGCGGAAGAGATTGAGAGTAGGGTGGGGCTGTTGCAGATCCACCATCCACAGAAGAGGAATGCAGCATTCCCAGGGACTTTTGCAGCCTTGAGGCTTCAATAGCTGCTCCTGAGCTCTGCAGCCTGTATGGGAGATCTGCTTCTTCACCCTTGCAGTTCCCACAAATCTCCCCAGCTCACAGCCCCAGTTACTCAGGCTGTAGTTCAGGGCAGGAAAGCAAAAAAACACTCAAATATCCTGTATATCAGCCTTCTCTAGCAAACTCATATTACCCCAATCCCTGCTTCATACCTTCATAGACACAGCCCTGTACCCAAAATAGCAAAGTTACTCCATGGCTCAGTCCGCTCCTCTTTCAAGTGTGTTCTTTGTGCACATGTCATCCGAAAGGCCTAGAATCCCTTGTCTTGCCTACACAGAACTGATTATAGCTTGACCTCTTTCTGACTCAGTTTACCATCATGTAAAAGGGGGATAATAACAATAATACAGAAGTGCTGCACTTTCCAGGGCTGATGGGAAGCTTCATTAATTGTTTGTAAAATGCTTTGAGATCCTTGGGTGGAATCTGATTATTTTAAATAGTTTCTAATGAATACATTTGTTTTCAGCCCCAAAGCAGTATCATCGGGATATTGGGTTCATTGTTGGAGTGGCTGCTGCTTGTATTGTGATAACTGGAGCGTGTAGTATATTTTTGACCATATTCTATCAGGAACAACTTATGAAAGGTAAATTTTTTTTTAAACATTCCCACCCTTCAGCATCCTTCTAGCTGTGGTAGGCCTCCCATTTATATACTAATGGTAATAATAATTAATAACTAATAATAACTTAGCCAAGGGTGTGCTCTGCAAACAGTATGCTTCTTAGCTCATGTTAAAGGAAAGTTGGCCTAAAAATCAGAGCTAAAGCTTTCTCTAACCCAGAGTGTTAACAAATATCCTATTTGATTCTGAGCCCCAAAGAAGGGAGTTGCTAACTTCTGTACTTCTATCTGATTTCCTTATGGATATTTTGTATGTTAGGACACCTCAATCAGCTGTATGGCCCATGAGCAGACTCCTTGGGAAGCACCAATAGTAGGTAATCTAGCTTATTTGCCTGCATCATAGCAGGATTGATTTCATTTCCCTAAACCATCTGTCATGGACTAATTTAGTCTAATCTAATCCAGTCATTAGAGGGATGCAAGAGGGTTTTAGCAACTATGGGAGACCAACAATAGAGGTCGGGGCACTAGATTTTAGCAGTCACAGCACTTGTCAGTACTGGAGGGATCACAAGGGTTTAATCAGATAGAAAAGATGGGTTTCAGCAACTGAAAGGGGAGTGGGCCCCCTCAACTCATCTTATTGCAAAGGGCCATTGCATGGAGGAGGTCCTGGTTGTGTCTGAGCAAGAGTGATGACAAAGCAGGGCTCCCATAAAAGGTCCAGGGATCTCTGCAGCTACACTTTGGGTACATGCCTAGAAAAGACCCAGTGTGTTGATTTCACTGGGGCCAGTATTTCATATTTCACTCCTACTGTGAATATCACTACTTTATATATCCAGGAACCCCCAGTTCTGCTATGCCAGCATCTCACAGAGACTTCTAAATCCCAAATTTATCTTTTCAGTGCCACCTCAGGTTTCCTTGATTAACAAACCAGATGTGATCCCGATTAATGAGAAGCTGAAGCTGATGTGCAACATAAATGGGTTTAGACCAAAAGCGATTAGTGTGAAATGGTACCGGAGAACCCCCCAAATGGCATCAAGTGAAGCTCCTGGAGAAGCCTCTTTTCTTCTGGGTCCGAGAGACGATATTACAGACAAGGCAAGGCAGCCTTTGGAAACCAATGGCAAGTTCTTCAGTGTTCCATCCTGTCTGACCTACACACCCACCATCCGGGATGATGGGGCAGTGTTTGAATGCAGCGTTGAGCACAGCGCATTGAAAAATGTCATATGGATGAGCACCACGCTGAGTGTCACAGGTAAAAGCTCCCCCCCCCCGCCCCCTGCCAGCAGATCTTCTTTTCTTACTGACTCCTTGCCAAAAACTGAACAGTAACTTTTTACAAGATTTCCCTAAACACACACACACACACACACACACTCACTCTCTCTCTCTCTCTCTCTCTCTCTCTCTCTCTCCCTTTCAGCTCGGCCGACAAGTCTCTACATCACTAGCTGGCCTCAGGCTCCCACGGTAGGAGAGAAGCTCATTCTGAGCTGCGTAGTAGAGAAATTTTACCCGAAGGATATCACTTTGACTTGGTTTCGAAATGGACAACTGGTTAGCGATGTGACACAGTTTGGACCTTTCCCTTGTGAAATTGACTATTTCAGTGTCTGGAGCCAGACTGAGTTTATACTGACCAATGAGGAGGAAGGGGCAGTTTATATCTGTCAGATAAAACACAGCAGCTTTGGAAATATAGAAGAACTCTTCTATGAAGTTAACTTGCAAGGTAAGATGCATGCCGTGAGTCAACTGCTGCAAATGATGCTAATAATGGAGCTGCCTTTGAGAGGTTCAGCAAATTTACACCACGAGGTGCAAAAGATTCAGAGCTTGGGAGGCAGGGTGGTCTATTGGCCCGTGCACAGGGCATAGTGCTAGGAAGTCCTGAGATCTAATCCTGGCTCTACCGCTGACTTGGAATGTGGCTTGGGGCAAGTCAGTCCCTGTTTTTCATCTATAAGATGTAGAGGATAGGGGTATTGTGACCATCAACTAAATATAAAGTGCTATGGAAGTATTAAGTATTTCTAGGTGAGAATGGTTTGATCACCTGGAATCTGAATGGGGCCTTTGGGTTAAAGACTGTAGAGGAAGCTAAGGAGCAGCTGAGTTCCTCCTAACCCAGCCTATTAGAGTGATTGCTGAATGGGCCTTCTGCTTTCTTGTCTTAGCCCCATTTCACATACTGATCTTCAGCGGTGGCGCAAAGTGGAACCGGCCCAGGTAATGCCCAAAGTCTGGGATGAGGAAGAAGAGGTGTGGTAGCTGTGGCTGAGTAGAGAGAGACCTTATTCAGCACAGTGCACTGTGTGTCAGTATGGGAGAGCCTGGGGATGTGATGGGGGCCTGGAGTACTGCGAGAGCCCCATGAGCTATAGGTACAGGGGAAAGAGCGTGACACACACAATGTTGGGCCAAGGTCAAAGCTACAGTCACACCCAAAAATTTCCATTGCCAGACCCGCAGCATGCCATAAACAATCAAACCAGACACAATTTGCAGCAGCTCTCACTGTGTGAGCTGTAGGCTCCCACATTCTCATTATGACTGTCATGAATAATTCACCACTCCCATTGGTACAGTTATGCATCTTGGCCATGTGCCCTCTTCTTGATATTGGGGGTGACTCATCTAACCATCTGTCCTGCTGTGTGTTCTTTCAATTTGAACAGGGACACCCCCTGAAGTTCTCTGGATCACCACAGACCCCTCCATTCCTGTGGTGGGAGAGGAGCTGAGGCTGAACTGCAGGATCAATAACTTCTCCCCTAACGTGATCACTGTGAACTGGTTCCGAGATGGGCAGCTCCTGCAAGCGGGAGTCTGCCATTCAGTCTCCATAATGGGGGCCAATGGTTTGCACTCCATCTGGAGCGTTTTGAGAGTCACGCCTGGAAGGGAAGAGGAAGGAGCAGTGTTTACGTGTCGGGTGACACATGCTGCTTTAAGGGACTCTGTAGAAAGATCATACACTCTGCAGCTGCCTGGTATGTCCTGTACAGTGTGTTTGATTGGATAGTTCATACAGTGCCTGAACAACGGAGATTAGTTTAAAGGAAAGTGTGGTCAAGGGGCCAAATGAGGCCTGTAGAGTGCCAGAGGGAGGCCTAAAGTGATGGTGTGAGCCGATGGCTGTGAGCTAGGAACTTAATGAGACCTGATCTCAGCTCTGACACAGACTCCCAGCATGCTTAATCTCTCCGCCTAAGAGCCCCCATCTGTACAAACACTCACTTACGTAAGGGTGGAGCGAGGAGTGCTGTGTTTGTAAAGCGCCTCATTTCTAATTATTGTTATGTTATTAGAATGCAGCCTGTGGCTGCTCTCTGCATGTAATCGTAGGACAGGAACAAAGCTGATCAACTGCAGGTTTTTAGGGCTGGTGAAATGTTATGAAACACAGAGTCTCTGAGTAAGCTCTAAGGTCACCCTAGCCC